CAGGACCATAGAATCTTATTCCAATTGACTTCAGTTTCCCACATGCCATCTGGAAAACTGTAGTCGAGATGTCAAGCGAGTTTTTTTAAAAGGGTCTTTCTTTTACAGTCTCCCATAAAACCTGTGAATAGTGAAGCACCTGAGCAAACAGTGTGTTATATACACTGTCTCTCCAATCACAGCCACTGAAGCTTGTAACTCAGGCATTTTTTGAATGTATTCTAATTAAGAGACCCGTTTTCAGCATCTTTTTTTTTAATTAAAAAAAATTTAAATGAATTAATAACTAAATTAAATTATGCCTATATCTGACGAAGATTCAGCATTTAAGTACAAAGAGAGATACAGCTTCAGTGACTGCGAAAGGTATTGGTAACATTATTTTTTCTTTTTTGGATTATCTCAATAGCCCAAATAAAACAGACATATGTCACCTATACTCATCTCCAGGTGTGACATATTAGGCACGCATGCCACTATAAATCCCCTGGTGCTCTCCAGATTTTTGTAAGAGTCTGGAAAAATGCAATCCGCGCTCATTCTGTATATAAAGTGGTTTTGTTTAGCTAAATTAATGATAAGGCTTAAGGGACTACAGCATTTATGCCAGTGGGCTCCTGGTATGAATCTGGCACTGGTTATCTTCAATATGATTTTTTTCACATTAGAAGTGTCCTAATATTACACATTTTTAAGAGTCTGTTCATACCTATCAATTTCGATGCACCAAAACTCTTGAAATTTGCTGCATCAGTGGATCCTGTATTTCATATTCCAAGCCCTGTTGCCATACCACATACAGCCAGGTCCATAAATATTGGGACATCGACGCAATTCTGACATTTTTGGCTCTATACACCACCACAATGGATTTGAAATGAAACGAACAAGATGTGCTTTAACTGCAGACTGTCAGCTTTAATTTGAGGGTATTTACATCCAAATCAGGTGAACAGTGTAGGAATTACAACAGTTTGCATATGTGCCTCCCACTTCTTAAGGGGCCAAAAGTAATGGGACAGAATAATAATCATAAATCAAACTTTCACTTTTTAATACTTGGTTGCAAATCCTTTGCAGTCAATTACAGCCTGAAGTCTGGAACGCATAGACATCACCAGATGCTGGGTTTCATCCCTGGTTATGCTCTGCCAGGCCTCTACTGCAACTGTCTTCAGTTCCTGCTTGTTCTTGGGGCATTTTCCTTCAGTTTTGTCTTCAGCAAGTGAAATGCATGCTCAATCGGATTCAGGTCAGGTGATTGACTTGGCCATTGCATAACATTCCACTTCTTTCCCTTAAAAAAAAAAAAAAACTCTTTGGTTGCTTTTGCAGTATGCTTTGGGTCATTGTCCATCTGCACTGTGAAGCGGCGTCCAATGAGTTCTGAAGCATTTGGCTGAATATGAGCAGATAATATTGCCCAAAACACTTCAGAATTCATCCTGCTGCTTTTGTCAGCAGTCACATCATCAATAAATACAAGAGAACCAGTTCCATTGGCAGCCATACATGCCCACGCCATGACACTACCACCACCATGCTTCACTGATGAGGTGGTATGCTTAGGATCATGAGCAGTTCCTTTCCTTCCCCATACTCTTCTCTTCCCATCACTCTGGTACAAGTTGATCTTAGTCTCATCGGTCCATAGGATGTTGTTCCAGAACTGTGAAGGCTTTTTTAGATGTCGTTTGGCAAACTCTAATCTGGCCTTCCTGTTTTTTGAGGCTCACCAATGGTTTCCATCTTGTGGTGAACCCTCTGTATTCACTCTGGTGAAGTCTTCTCTTGATTGTTGACTTTGACACACATACACCTACCTCCTGGAGAGTGTTCTTGATCTGGCCAACTGTTGTGCGGGGTGTTTTCTTCACCAGGGAAAGAATTCTTCGGTCATCCACCACAGTTGTTTTCCATGGTCTTCCGGGTCTTTTGGTGTTGCTGAGCTCACCGGTGCATTCCTTCTTTTTAAGAATGTTCCAAACAGTTGTTTTGGCCACGCCTAATGTTTTTGCTATCTCTCTGATGGGTTTGTTTTGTTTTTTCAGCCTAATGATGGCTTGCTTCACTAATAGTGACAGCTCTTTGGATCTCATCTTGAGAGTTGACAGCAACAGATTCCAAATGCAAATAGCACACTTAAAATGAACTCTGGACCTTTTATCTGCTCATTGCAATTGGGATAATGAGGGAATAACACAAACCTGGCCTTGGAACAGCTGAGAAGCCAATTGTCCCATTACTTTTGGCCCCTTAACAAGTGGGAGGCACATATGCAAACTGTTGTAATTCCTACACTGTTCACCTGATTTGGATGTAAATACCCTCAAATTAAAGCTGACAGTCTGCAGTTAAAGCGCATCTTGTTCGTTTCATTTCAAATCCATTGTGGTGGTGTATAGAGCCAAAAATGTCAGAATTGTGTCGATGTCCCAATATTTATGGACCTGACTGTATGGACACAAATAAAAATAGTGCTTTTTTTTTTTTCCCTTCAATATTGCCTAAGCTTATAGTGCAGCCATTAACCTCCCTAGTGATATGATTATGTCAATATTTCTGTGTGCTCAAAGCGGTACATTTTTTTGCATGGAAATATGTCATTTTTTTATTGTAGGCCTGTAATTTTTAGGAATAACTCACTGAAATCTGTCCGAACAAGAGTCTAGTAAACATCACGGGTAAGATAAAATTTGAAACACGAAATCATAAATTATAATATAATAAATAATCATAAAAAATAATAATATAATAATAAATTTAATTCAATAATGTAATGAAACCAAAAACACTGAAATTTGAAATAGAGCGCCAAGTTCGCACATCACTGAGCTTAGTCGCAAAATCGTTTTCGGTGTCTGATGACGAATTTCCACAATTTTATTAATACAAAGTTCAACAGACTTCCAGAAAAGAAAATAAATGAGTTTCCCTCACAGGGGTTTTAGCATTTCCATCGTTCCAGCCTTGAGAGAGTACAACACTTCAGAGGAAAAGGACTTGGGGGTACTTATTTCAGATGATTGCAAAATGAGGAAACTGTGTGGCCAGGCAGTGGGGAAAGTGAATAGAATTCTAGGATGCATCACTAGAGGGATCACCAGCAGGAGGAAGGAGGTCCTGATTGCCCTCTATAGGTCTTTAGTTAGACCTCATTTAGAATACTGTGTCCGGTTCTGGAGACCTCATTTACCAAAAGTTATTGATAAGACAGAACGAATCCAGAGACAGGTAACAAAAATGGTGAAATGTCTGAGGGATAAAAACACGTCAAGAGTGACTTCAGGAACTTAACAAGTACAGTCTGGAGGAAAGAAGGGAAAGAGGAGGCATGACTCAAACCTTTAATTACATCAAAAAGGTGAATAAGGTTCAGGAGGGCAGTTTTTTCAACATGAAACCAAAATCAAGAACACGGGGACATGAATTTAAACCAACTGGAGGAAAGTTCAAAGCTAATCTCAGAAAGTACTATTTTACTGAAAGAGTAGTTGATGCTTGGAATAAACTTTCAGCAGAGGTAGTGAGCCAGTCAACAGTAAGACCTATAATCAGAGAACAAAGTTAACACAAAAAAAACAAAATAAAAAAACCCCCCAAAACAAAAAAAAAAAACCCACCCACCCCCCCCCCAAAAATGGACAGACTCGATGGACCACTCTGTCTTTTTCTGCCATCACTTTTCTATGTTTCTATCCAAAGAAATATACATTCAGCCTCCAGGCTTACACCTGCAGCACTCCTACTCTCACCTTACCCTTTAGGCCCTTTGCCTCCAACAGACAGTCTTAATAGACAACTCTGTGCACATAATTTTACAGCCCCTTGCTGCTCCCACACGGAGCCCTCCTGACTCCTGGCAGTGACCTCCTCTGACTGCTGGTGTGGAGCCCAAAACCATGGTCAGGTTCCTAATAAAAGCCCAGCACACACCTGACCAATTAGCATACTGGCTGTTCACAAAACCTGGCCCCGGGATTGCAGATTTCATCCCTCTCAGGTCACTTTGCAATCTCCAGGCTCCAGGTCCCAAAACCTCCTTTACTAGACACTGAGGAAACTGAAAAGTCAGTCAGTTTCCTCTTCATGACACAAGCTCCCTAGAGCCCCTCAACCTACCTGGCTGAGAATCCTGAGTAATAACTTCTTTCTAGACTCTGGCAGGGCAAAGCCTGCCACAGTACAGTTATTCTACCTAACCCCCTATATGCCCACAAAACACGTTGAGAAGAATTCTCCTCACTGTTACCACTGAGCAATTTCGTTGCTAGAGGAGAAAATTTGCATAAGAGGCAGGATTGATAATGTCACATGATTTGTATGTCTCTATATATGTCAGTCTTACAAACAAAAATGTTTTTAAAGTATAAATTATGAAAAATAAATATACAGTTTAGTATTTTAGTCCTATATTATGTGGTACTCCAAAAAAAGGATTTTAAAGGTAAGTCAACAATTCTGTTTTCTTAATCCTACCTTACTGGCCACAGTATCAGTAGTCTTAACCATGGGATGTCCCAAAGCAATACAACTGAGGGGTGGGCAACACAGAAAAAAACAAACACTAATAGGGCAATAGGGTAAGGAAAGGCTTGAAAAAACCCCAGAGAACAGCCTGAAACACCTTATGTCTAAAACTGGTATTCGGGGAGGCCTGGAAAATCTTAATAAAAGTGTAAACAAAAGCCCAGGTGAGAAACAGATGCCTGATGCTGAAAAGCCCATTAAGCAGTATTGGATCTGATACAGGGTGCATTAAGAAGGTATTGTGGAACCCTATCCTTGCAACCATAGGTTTGAAGGTTGACTTATCTAATTCACCTAGCAATGGTGGTGAGTGAAGAACCAACAGGCAATCCAATTGTCTAAAGCAGGTAGTAGCCAAGAGGTAGACCCTCTAAGCATATACTACACTATATTGCCAAACGTACTAGGACACCCCTCCAAATCATTGGATTCAGGCGTTCCAGTCACCTCCATGGCCACAGATGTATAAAATCAAGCACCAAGGCATGCAGACTGCTTCTACAAACATTTGTGAAAGAATGGGTTGCTCTCAAGAGCTCAGTGAATTCAAGCGTTACATCATGATAGGTTGCCACCTGTGCAATAAGTCAATCCATGAAATTTCCTTGCTATTAAACATTCCATCAACTAATAGTGGTACTATAACAAAGTGGAAGCAACAGGGAACAACAGCAACTCAGCCTCGAAATGGTAGGCCATGTAAATGACAGAGCGGAGTCACCGCACAGTGCACAGAAGTTGCCAACTGTCTGCAGACTCAATAGCTAAAGACCTCCAAACTTTGTGTTGCCTTTAGATTAGCACAACAACCGTGCATAGAGAACTTCATGGAATGGGTTTCCATGGCCGAGCACCTACATACAAGCCTTACATCACCATGTGCAATACAAAGCGTCGGATGCAGTGGTGTAAAGCAAGCCGCCATTGGACTCTAGAGCATGGACACATGTTCTCTGGAGTGATGAACCACACTTCTCTGTCTGGCAATCCGATGGACTTGTCTGGGTTTGGTGGTCACCAGAAGAACGGTACTTGTTTGACTGCATTGTGCCAAGTGCAAAGTTTGGGGGAGGGGGGGATTATGGTGTGGGGTTGTTTATCGGGGGTTGGGATTGGCCCCTTAGTTCCAGTGAAGGGAACTCTTAAAGTGTCAGCATTTTAAGACATTTTAGACAATTTCATGCTCCCAACTTTGTGGAAACAGTTTGGGTATGGCCCCTTCCTGTTCCTACATGACTGCGCAACAGTGTACAATGCAAGGTCCATAAAGACATAGATGAGCTAGATTGGGGTGGAGGAACTTGACTGGCCTGCACAGAGTCCTGACCTCAACCTAATAGAACAACTTTGGGATGAATTAGAGCGGAGACTGTGAACCAGGCCTTTTTGTCCGACATCAATGCCTGACCTCACGAATGAGCTTCTTGAAGAATGGTCAAACATTCCCATAGACACACTCCTAAACCTTGTGGACAGCCTTCCCAGAAGAGTTGAAGCTGTTAAAGCTGCAAAGGGTGGAGTAACTCAATATTGAATCCTACGGGCTAAGACTGGAATGCCATTAAAGATCATGTGTGTGTAAAGGCAGCGTCCCAATACTTTTGGCAATATAGTGTATATCGATAGTGGAAAGAAATTTCCTTGGAATGTTTTGAAGTAGGACAAGGGTGGAATCAATGTCTTGATCAAGGCGCAAGGTGTAAATCACATTGGGGAGAAAAGAGGCCTGGGTATCAGAAGAACCTTGTCTCTGTGTAACACTAGAAAAGGCTCCTTACAGGATAAGGCCATTAGCTCAGAGAACCATCTTGCAGACGTAATATCATGCATTATGAGTGAGATCAGATAAGGGAATAACCCTAAAAGGCCCAGAAAATGCCCTCTGAAAGTCCAAGAGAAACAGAGTAAAGTGGTTGTAAAGGCTCAGGGTTTTTTACCTTTATGCCAGTTATGCATGAAGCTAAAAAACCTTTTCTGTGCAGCATTACCCCCAGCCCCTCCTAATACTCACCTAAGCCCCCTCTCGATCCAGCAATGTGCACTGGAGTCTTGGATATCCCGAGACTCCCTCTCCTCACTGGCTGAGACAACCGCAGGAGCCATTGGCTCCCACTGCTGTCAAACACAACCAGTGAGCCAATGAGAAGAGAGAAGGGTGGGGACCCCATAACAAGCTGCTTGCTTGACAGGAGGGAGGGGCCAGGAGTGCTGGCGGAGGATACGAGAAGAGGAGGATCCGGGCTGCTCTGTGCAAAACCACTGCTCAGAGCAGGTAAGTATAGACATGTTTGTTATTAAAAAAAATGTAAGCCTTTGGTATCATTTTAAGGTCCCATGCTGTCAATGGGGATTATACAGGTATAGCAATGTGCGATACAATCTGCACAAAGGCATTAGCTAAGGAATGAGATGCCAATCATCTCAGAAGCAAAACACGGTTTCATGGCATGATGAGTTCCACGGAGTACTAACTATGATGGCATTTCCTTTCTTGCAGCAAGCGAAGTAGGCCTCTTAGTGCAATGGCAGATTTTGTGCAAAGCTGACTGAATTCAAAAGGCACCTGTCTCTCTGGACCTGAGGTTCAACAGCCACAATGCTAAAGCCAGCGACCGTAAAGCAGGATGATGGTGGACCAGCCCTTGGGACAAAAGGTCCAGACAACCTGGGGGGGCGCACAGATTCTGACACAAGTCTGAGTATGTTCAAATACCACATCCTCCTGGGCCAGTTTGGTGCAATGAGGATCACCAGAATTCTTTCCTTCTTGATCCTGAGGCGCAGAAGAGGAAGGAGCAGTATAAAAGGAAAGACAGATCAAATGGAACTGATTCCACAGAGTTACCAGAGTATTCATTGCAAGCGCCCATGGGCCACTGAATGTCAGGGCCGGAACGCTGGAATGGGCAGGCAGGCCTATGGTACGGTCACGCTGCGACTGACGACAGCCACTACCCACAGACCAGAGTCCCTCAGGGCGCGGAGTCTAAGCCCCAGGCTACCCTTCATCAGAGCCCCTGATGGTGGGAATGGACTTGACGCAGCCTGAGACCAGGTCGCGGCCCCCGAGTGACCCCAGCTGCGATAACGACTGCCGCCAATGGCGTACAGCTGGTGGGAGCTAGATGGGAACACGAGTAGAGTAATCAGACAAGCCGGGTCAATAACAACGGAGCAGACGGTACTAGATGGTAGGCAAAGAATACTCAGGTCACGGGCCGGGTTCAGCAACGGAAGGTCAGGTAAAGGTTAACGCAGAGAGTAGTCTTGTCCAAGCCGAGTCGGTTTACCAGGAGAGCAATGGGAACAACACAAGAGCTTGCAACAGGGCAACATACAGGACACAAGTGCAGAGCACACTTGCAGACAGCAGGTTTAAATGTGCTCAACCACACCCTTCTGAGGAGGAGCCGCAGAAGCCTGAAGGCATAAAGGTTCCCACCATG